AATACTCACACCAATCACACTGTTCCTACCCAGGAAGGTGGCATAAACCAACCAGAACCCTGGGGTTTCTGCTTCAGAACCAGGACTCAGTTTTTTCATTTGTGAAATTTGTGACAACATAAACTACTCTGCAGACACATTATGAAGATTAGCTAAAACAGAGAGCCTAAAACAATGTCTAATATTTAATACTTCATAAATTGGAGCTATTCTTAGAATGTAAAAACACACTTTTCCCAACTAATCTGAAGAAGAATTGCTGTTTTATAATCAAAGAAAAAGAAATCATGGTGGCTTACTGAATGTCTCTGACAGTGAAGGGCTAAGATGTAGTATTTTTCCCTGCATTAGACCTCCTCCCTCTAATATTCACTAAAGAACTGCATATGATTATAAATTAAAAAGAAAATGGAATAAATTGCCATATCTAGGCATGTTCAGTTCAGTTCAGTCACTCGGTCATGTCCAACTCTTTGCAACCCCAGATTTAGGAATGTAGCCTTTTAGTAAAACTGACATTAATTTTCTTTCTTTTGATTTAATAAAGTTCCCATGTCGAACTCTTTTAGCTTCTAAGAAGTGATTAAGATGCTTTTAAGATTTTTGGCTAATATGTTCATCAATCCTAAAAGGCAGTGCTAACATCAAACAATGATAGAAAGCAACTGTATTTCCCCCTCATTCTGCACACCAACAAAGAACATTTTTTTGAAACCTTTACCCATGCACAAACAGTAGTACTGAACCTTTAATTCAGAGTCCTTACTTTATAGAGAAAACAGAAACAGAGTGATTAAGTGACTTGTTAAAGTCACATTAATTCAAATATCATTAATTTTTGAGAGAAAAAAGGTAGATTCCCAAAATTACAAAAATGAGGTTGCCATTGGTCACTCATCAAATTCTAGAGAAGGTTAACAGATGGCATGCGAGCAGCTAGGAAGGAGGTAGCATGCCTTCACCAAGAGTGAAGCATTTCCAGGTAACTTCATTTGCTTTCCTGATTTAATATACTAGCAAGATTAGGCTACTTCCATAGTGCTTGTCAACCACACTGGACAGTATTTCTTATTCTTACAGTGTCCTTTTAGGAAACAAGCATCTAAGTGACTAGTAGTTGCTTCAACAACTGTACCCAAAGCACAGATTGGTGGGTCAAGGTAATCTAGAGGGCCGTCTACAGTGGCATTCTGAAGAGAGCCTGTATCCTGTTTTGTTCAGTATTTATCAGTAACCTGGAGAAAGCCTCTAAACACCAAAGACGTGCTTCATCAAAACTGGGACTGACACAGGCTGGGAGAAGAATCAAGAGTTGACACAGACCTTTACAAGTTAATTTTAGTAAGGATGAATGTAGTCCTTCAATTAGGTTAACAGGAAACTGTGTAAGTAATTATTAGGAACCAGCCTGGCTTACCAGCAATACCTTGAGGTTTAGCAAAAGAGAATAATGTGATACATGTGCCTAAAAATGATGGTAATGATAATAATACTGTCAACATATACTAGTCGTAATGGTCATATGAGAATCACCTCAATGATGCTAATAATGCTTCTGGATCCTGCTTTAGTCAGACCACAGAACTGTGTTTAGTTCTAAGCAATGCATTATACTTGGGAGACTGAAATAGTCAATGCCAGCCGGTCTAGAATAGGTATCATGCACGATCTGAGAAAACTATGAAGCCTGAGGGGAGACATGAAGAGGTGGCCACGTAGAAGGAACAAGACCTTTCTGCCTAGCTTCATATGTGTGCTGTTTACAGGAACGTGTGGCTGACACTTTTGTAATAATGAAATCCAGCTCTTGTAGGGGTGCTGAATGGCTCAACCTCTGGAAGGCCATCAACCACTTCTGTATAGCTGAATTCTCTTTTAGCCTCTTCTTAGATCCCAGTGGAAGGGCTATAAAATCATGTGTTCAGGAGCCTATTCCAGACTTCCTGTGTTCTTTGCTATTAACACTAAATGCTCAAGGAGTTTATGTTATAGAAGTGATATGACTACACAATTAAATACTAGAAATGACCACTGGGTATATCCTGTTTATTGTTTATGATTTACACGAAAAATGATGGTCTGGGGTTGTAGAACAATAAACCAATCATTACATTTAGACCTGGGATTTTGAAAAGCTTGCATTCCATTTTAACAGTTCACATATATTTAACAGCTTATATATAAATCCAGATCACAAATAATCTTAAAGAGTTAAGTTAGCTTAGAGATAAACAAGAAACACAAAAGAAAACCACACAGATTTACCTTTAAATATCAGCATTCATATTACAAGAAAGAAAATGTTAAAAAAAAAATAAAATTAGGTCAAGTCACTTAACATATAATAGAGAAATAAGAGAAACAATATTTTAATTAATACTAATACTTCTAATTTACCATCATATATTCTTTACTTTTTCAAAATTTAGTTGCCTTAACTTGTCAGCCTCAGATTATATCAGCTTGTTACAATGACAATTCTAAAACCTCAATTTTCTTTTTTACAGAATTTTTAAGCCAGCTCTTATTGAACTTTTCTCCTTCACAGCAGCTGTTTATAGATAGTAGGGAGCCAAGAATGAAGGGTGGAAACAGATGGAAAGCAAAAAGTACAACAGCTATCAAGTTCAGCTCTCAACACTGCTGGTTGAATTTGGAACCAAAACCTCTTAACAACTGGCAGATAATAGCTAAATCTTAATAGGCAAAGAAGAAATATTTTCTTTCTGACAGCTGCTATCTAGAAGAAAACCAAGGTCCCATTATACTGCCTAAATATAATGTGTGGCTTATTACAGAGAAACCTGTAACAATGTCAGTTTAACCAGTAAGTGTCACAACTGATCATTATTACTTAAAGGAAACAAACAACAACAACAACAAAAATCACACTAACCACAAATTTCCACAATATACACATGAGAATTAACTTTAATCTGATTTGACCCCTTGACACTAACTGATTATCAATGAAATGTGGTATGGAAAGATCACAGAGTAGAAAACAAGCAAAGATTGTTTATACAACAGTGACTATATACATCAGAAGGAAAACATGCTACCTAATGCAACATTAAGGCCTGAATGTAAGCATTTCCAAGTCACAGATGCCCCAAAGAACCTCTAAATTACAAAGTCACCACATTACATGCATGCAATGTTCAGTTTTGTTTTACCCATAAAAGGATACACAGTATTTTGCTGTAAATACCAGACACATTTACAATATATGCAAAAATTAGAATGCAAGTTTTATGTTCCTTATATTTAAGCCTCAAATGTGCCAACAGTGAAAATTCATTTATTTTTAAGAATGGAAAAAGAGATGGAATATAAATACTCAGAGAAATTACACAAATAAAACATAAACTTTGCATTTGGGAAACCATATAAACCATTCCTTTTTGTGTCCAAACTAAATTATCAATGTACTACTTGGATGGATGTACACTCACTATGTGCTTTACTATTTTACTTGCTCAAATGTGGCATTCTAAGACCCATCATCATTCTCCGGTCTTGGTATTTAAAGCATCTGTAAGTTAAATATCATGTCCATGTTGATATATACTTGCCTACTGGGTGGGACCACCTAAACAGAGAGCTGTGCAGTCTTAGTTTGGTCACATAATTACAGAGATGACTCTGTGGTCACGTTTCTCTTTAAAAAAAAAAAAAAATACTGTGAGGAAAGCCGATTTCCTCTCTTGTGTAAAAGCTGATGAACAGGTCTCTTTCAGAGGGTAAATTTGAGGTCAGCATCTTTTTTCTTCTATAGACAGGAATTAACACCAGAGCTGTGTTACCTGTTCAATTCTGTTCACACAGTTACTAGGGAATCATACAATCTATTCCTTTTTCATCCACAGCTTCATTTGACACTATTTCCATTCTGGGTGAATAGTTTTACCAAAATATATTAGTGCAAAGAAACAAAGGCTGATAATGTAATACGAATAATCTCTGTCCAGCAATACTTTAGAATAATAAATTATAACAAAGGAAGGTTTAGACATGCTGTAAAAAGGTATGGTCAAATCTGTCCTGAACTTCATCAGTTTGATGCTTTATATAAGATAGTACAATTAACTTTCTAGTTTTTTTAAGGATTCAGATTTTCCTTTGGGATATAACAGAATGAGTGTTTTAAAACACTTCATGCTTTTTTTTTTCAGACTTTCCAAAATATTACAGAGTCAAAATTACCTTTAACTATATCCAATATTTGTTACACAAATGTGCCATGAGTGTTCTGGACCTTTAACGTTAGACATATGGAAAGGATCTCATAAGGCCATCTAATTCATCTCACTGCACCAAGCACCGAGTCCAGGAGATTGTTCATATTCTTTACTAACTTTACTTTATGCACATCCACCAGTTCAAATATAATAATTAATTTTCTACCTAACCATTTCAAGACTACAATTAAGATATAAACATTTTGTGATGCTCTAGCCAGAAGTTTTGTTTGGCATTCTAGAAAGTCTTAATTTGAGAGAGTAGATACCTTCTTACAAAACCACTCAGTATTACGAACTAAGAGGTTTTGATGAAGCAAGAGCAAAGGGACCAAAGAAAAAGCATGCTTTAGAATTCATTTTTATTTCCAACGAAACCAAATTTTACTACTGTTGTGATCACAATCTTCACATTTGATGCAAATAGGAAAGCTTAATTATAATCACTTAGTGGCAGTACTCCGGACAAAACCAATAATGTGTGCCACATAGATGATTATTTCTTCTGGAGAGAATTAACTGATAAGCTTGACTTTACAATTAATAACATGTTAAACTAAAGAAAATGGATGCACTACTTCAACATTCAGCTTGAAAACGTTTAGTACTTTCTGCAAACCTAACTTAAGTTTAGAAAGGTTAATATTCTCTTTCTAAACTATGGCATAGACTATATATAGCATTTTTAATATATTTATATATAATTATTTGCACATCAGATTTAGAAGGAATCTGCAGATTTACTTTGATAGACCGATCTCATTCCAGTGGGAAGGTTGAGGGGGCTTCTGCAGCACTGTCGTTTGCAGGGGGGGCGTCACGGTCAGGCTCAGAGGAAGCAGCTGCAGGTGTCTCCATCACAGCGGGCGGGAAGTGCCGGCGGCACACGGGGCAGGTCCCGGACTGGAGGGAGAAAAACCAAGGGAGAAAAAAGCAAGTTCGCAGCCAACAAACGGCAAGGTCTGAATTGCTACCAAGTATCAGAACAGTAGCATTATCCTAAACAAGTCAAATAATGTAAAAGAAAAATGAACATCAGCCTACAAAATACAGAGAAGCAGAATTCTGAGGGGATTTCCCCTCATCCCAATTAAGACTCTTACTTTCTTTGAGGGGAAAAATGTCTCCGCATCAGTTTTGTATGTTATATGGGTCACTAATCTTTTCTTCAGTGAGTCTTAACTGAGCATCTACTATACTCTCCGCTTCGGACTGGTACTACAAGGGTGAGCTAGGAGTCGCAGGGCATGTCCTCCCCTGAAGTGAATTATTATGAATCTATGATGTAAGTATTAAGAGAAAGCAGAGACCTAGTTAATTCACGTATTTATTAGGTCAAATCATCCCCCTAGGATCTTCCACATACATAGTAAAGCCTCACTCTGGTGTGGTAGAGATACATCAGAGCAGATGGACTGCAGCCCTTCTTTATAAGCCATACACTTCCTTTTCAGAAAGTTAAGAAGAGTTAGGTGTCTTCTGAAAAATAAAACAAATCAATGAGGGAAGGTGGGACAGGGAAAGCAGTTAAGACTGGGAGTACATGATTTCAGGACCAATGGCAGATTACAGAGATTGCCATCTGGTGATAGATAATCCCCTCACAAATCTTCTTTTTCCCAGAGATCTCCCTGGTAGAAAACAGGTTGAAGAAATCATGCTGTTGAAGGTGACAAAGATATGTATCTTGGGAACCTTCACCCCAGAGGAAAGGCTTCACACTATGCGGCTTCCTGACAGGAGAGAGACTAAAGAAAGTACGACTTTGGGTTAAGGCAAAATCACTGACAATTCAAGACTGTACAACATAAGTAATATTGACAATTCAAGAATTTAATTCAGCAAACAGGTACAGTGCACTTGCCATAGAGATGGAACCAAAAGAGCAACATCTGAGAGTCAAATAGAGGAGTCCAGTCTCAACCAAGCACATTCCAGGCATGGAACCTTGCATGAGTGACAACTACTAGGAAATGAGAGTAAGGACACCAGGATGTTCCAGAGTTGTTATCAGGACTAAGTGGGAAAACGCACATGAATCATCTAGGAGTGACACACAGCAGGCACAGACAACCCGAGAGCCTTCTTGAGGTTCTGATACTATTGTGGAAGTTTAAAGGAAGGGGATGCTAAGAATAAAAAAGGTGGAATTTAAGCTGGACTCCCTAGAACATCTATTTTTATAGTAAGGGGATGATCACACCAGGCTAGGCAGACATGAGTAAAGGTACAGAGGAGTAAATCTGAAGGACAGACTAGATCCCAGAAGGCCTTGGAAGTCTAGACAGAAACTTTATAGATATTATAAAGGAATAATGAACACTTCTGAACTGGATTTGAGAGATATTAACCAGAATTTTGACAGAGATGAAGTGGCAGTAGAAGAGGAGCAAAACCAAAGCAAAAGAAGGGAAAGAAAAGAGAGGAAGGAGAGGGTGGAAGTGAGAGGGGGGAAATGAAAGGAAGCAGTTATAGAGGAGACAGAGAGCCGTATCTGTAAGTAATCAAGCTGGGAAAGTGATCTGGGAGCTTCTACTGAACTGCATGTAAATATCCTTTATGCAAGAATAGAGTTCACTGAGATTTAAAGAGTACTTTTTAAAGTAATTCAAATATACTTAAAAATTATTGGGTAAACATTAAAAAACAGTATATAAAAATTCACATCAGAGGTACTTGGTAGGTTATTAAATATCATACACATTTTTACTTTACATTTTAAATATTTTATTGAAGTATGGTTGATTTAGAATGTTTATTAATTTCTACTGTATGGTGAAAAATGATTCAGTTATGTATGTATTCTTTCTCATATTCTTTTCCATTATGCTTTATCACAGGATATTGACTATAGTGGCCTGTACTATACAGTAAGACCTTGTTGTCTATCCTCATTTTTGGAGATACCGTCTCATATTAGCAGAATATCTGTACAATGTTATGGTGAGTAGTCCCAAACACTTCCTGGCTTAAGATATTTTTGAAAACATCAAATTTCAGAGATATAATCAAGATCTAACTAGTTTTATCCTAACGTCATTTTCTTATATTGTTTTTTAGAAAACTTTAATATGTTAAAGGGATTCCCTGATGGCTCAGGTAGTAAAGAATCTGCCTGCAGTGCAGGAGAACCAGGTTCAATCCGTGGGTAGGAAGATCCCCTGGAGAAGGAAATGGCAACCCACTCTGGTATTCTTGCCTGGGAAATCCTATGGACAGAGACGCCTGGCAGGCTACAGTCCATGAGGTCAGAGAGAGATGAATACGCCTGAGTGACTCACACTTTCACACTGAGTAAGGTGAAATAGCTTGACATTACCGTTAATCTGTAATCATTAACAGGTAGCCAATTTTAAACAGTAAATTAAAAAATATTTTGAGTATGTAGCTAAGTATAACAGGCTTAAAAAACACTACCTATCCTCATTAACTTGTAGAAGAAACCATTAAAATTTTAATTCTAAAAAAGTAAATCTGCAACTCACCTTTTGTAGCCAAATTGAGACACAAGGTTTGTGAAAGAAATGGTGACAGGGTAACTCTGTTGCTATATCATCCTTAATATACTCACTGCAACAGATTGGACAGCACTGCTCCTGACCAATAGCTGCAAACAAATAATGTGATTTATCAATCCCACAAAAGTTCAATTTTAATAAAACTGAAATCCAACACATTAACTCATAAATGATAACTACAGAAGATGAGAGAACCAGAATTTGATCAATTAATTGGCAAATGTATTTCTGCTTAATGCATGACAATTTGGAATTTAATAAACATTGCTTTTGTAGAAAAGGTGACTAGAGAACATTTGTCCCAACCTATCACTTGATAAATTTAAAAATTCCATTAGGTAAGTCTGTCAGAACTAAGTTTCATAGGAAATCTAATGAAAGTGTCTGACAGTATTTTTATCTTCTATGTGCACTGGTAACATACTTGAATATGCAACATGTCATCTGACACGTTTATTAGACATAAACTTTGCTCTTACCAGTGTGATCTTCAAGAACAAGCGTCTCTGGAAGACCATCAATGCTCTCCTTACTGGCTGGTGGATTGGCCACTTCAACATCCACTGCAAGAGACTCTAAGTGTGCCAGGGCAGTCTGAAAATGGAAAGTCATGTCACTTTGTTAAATACACTTTTTAAGCAGCAATGAAAACCATGTTTAAAGGTGTCACCTAAAATCACATCCAGCATTACGCCTCATCGTGTTGGTTTCTTTTGCTGCAGTTCCTGCACTGAACCAAAAATATCATAAACATAGGGGAAAAACCAAATAAACAAATCTATTTCTCTTAAGTACAACAAAAATCTATTTTGTCTCAATAACAATTTATTCGACCATCATACTTTTATTTTCAAAGGAGTGGTTACCTCTTCTAAGGTGTGAGTTTTGTGAGAGGTCAACCACATGGAGGAAAGCAGCATCGTGGATAGGTCCCACTGGCGACAGTGGACACGGCCAAGGTCACAGGACGCTCAGGCAGGGAAGCAAACGAGGAACTCCTGAATGGCAGCGCCTGCTGCGGGCACAGAGTCCGTGTGCCCACGCTGCCAGGTCATGAGTACTGGCACAACTTGTTTTACTGCTCTTGGCAGATACTGCTTTTTTGACGCACCGAAGATTTCTGGCAGCCCTGCCTCAAACATATCTATAGTGCCACTTTTTCCAACAGCATTTCTCATTTCATGTCTCTGTATCAAATTTTAGTAATTCTCACATTTCAAACTTTTTGATTATTATTATATTCGTTACAATGATCTGAGATCAGTGAACTTTGCTGTTACTACTGCTGACTCACTGAAGGCTAAGATAATGGTTAGTATTTTTTAGCAATGTAGTGTTCTTAAATTCAAGTATATACATTTTTTTAGACATACTGCTACTGCACACTGAATACAGCATAGTATAAACCTAACTGTTATGTGCACTGAGAGACCCCAAATTCATGTGGCTCACTTCACTGTAGTGCTCCTGGACTAAATCTGTAACCTCACTGAGACATGCCCATACTCCCAGTTATCTGGGTTGTGAACTTTATCTAGGGACTCAAATGTCTGGAAAAACTCACTATTCTAAGAAAGACAGGAAGACCAGCAGATCATATGACCATCTAGTAGCAGTCAGCCTCATCCTTTTGTGGCTTGATTAGCCCTTTTGACTACAATTAAATTAGAACTTTAGACAGGACCTATACTCACAAGATCTAAAAGGGAGAAACAAACCAAATATCTACTGATGAATGAAAGAACAAACTTGTTAGTAAAGGTAAGTATATCATCAAATTCAGAATATTTTGATACTGTAATATGGTAGTATATTAGCCATCTTACTGAGTATTAAAGTTAAAGGATGTGCTCATGTATGGATGTGAGAGTTGGACTATAAAGAAAGCTGAGCGCCGAAGAATTGGTGCTTTTGAGCTGTGGTGTTGGAGAAGACTCTGGAGAGTCCCTTGGACTGCAAGGAGATCCAACCAGTCCATCCTGAAGGAGATCAGTCCTGAATATTCATTGGAAGGACTGATGCTGAAGCTGAAACTTCAATACTTTGGCCACCTGATGTGAAGAGCTGACTCACTGGAAAAGACACTGATGCTGGGAAAGATTGAGGGCAAGAGGAGAAGGGGACGACAGAGGATGAGATGGTTGGATGGCATCACCGCCTCCATGGACATGGGCTTCGGTGGACTCCGGGAGTTGGTGATGGACAGGGAGGCCTGGTGTGCTATGGCTCATGGTGTCGCAAAGAGTTGGACATGACTGAGCGACTGAACTGAAATGAAGGTTAAAGGATAAGAGTTATTAAAAATAAGTATACTACAATAACTTGCTAATGAACATTCAATATACAAAGAGAAACTGGGACATCAAAAACCTAAGTGGGGAATAAAAGGGCAGAGTTTTTTGCATGCAACTGAAGCTGTTACCAGCAAAAAATAAGGTTATTAAGATGTCTTATTTAACCCTCACATAAATCATAAAGCAAAAATCTACATTAGACTTTTGTGTAGATAATACATCTACATTATCTACACAAAATTTTGATAATGAAAAGCAAGTCACAAAGAAGACAACAGGAGAGGGAGAAAGGAACTCGGGAGCTGCAGAACAGCCAGACAATAATGAGTCAGAAAGAATCAGTAGCTTCTACCATCCTCCACCCTGGAGAAGGAAATGCCAATCCACTCCAGTCTTCCTGCCTGCAGAATCCCATGGACAGAGGAGCCTGGTAGGCTACAGTCCACGGGGTCACAAAGAGTCGGACACGACTGAGCGACTTCACTTTCACTTTACCATTCTCCAATCAAAAGGCATACAGTGGCAAAAGGAGAAAAAGAAGACCCAACTCACCACATGCTACCTACAAGAGACTCACTTCAGCAGTCAGGAAACACACAGCCTCAAAGTAAAGGGATGGAAAAAGATATTCTATTCCAGAGAAACCAAAGAGCAGGGGCAGCTCTACTTGCATTAGATAAAAGAAACTTTGAGCCAAAAACTGTAATAAGAGGCAAAGATGATTATCATATAAAGAATCAACTCATCAAGAGGATGTAACAATCATAAAAAATATGTACCAAATAACAGAGAACCTAAGCATAGTAAGCAAGTAAAAACAGATCTGAAGTGAGATTAGACAACAGTAAGGTAGTATCAGGGGAGTTTAGGAACTCACTTTCAGATACATTACTCAGATAAAAACCAAAAAGGAAACACTGGACTTGGACTTTAGGTAAAACAGACCTAACAGACAGATACAAAACATTCCACAAATAGCAGCAGAACACACATTCTTCTTGGATGCACACGGAACATTCCTCAGGTTAGGTCCTACCTCAAAGCCGAGTCTTGACAAATCTGATAAGACTGAAGTCACACCAACTATCGTTTCTGACCAAAATGGCAAGAAATTAAAAATCAAAAATAGGAAGACACTGGAAAATTCACAACTATGTGGAAATTAAACAAAACACGTCTGAACAACCAACGGGTTGTTCACATGTTCAGTATGCCAAAACTTACAGGATGAAGCAAAAACAGATCTAAGAGGGACGTTTATAACAAAAAAAAGTCTACATAAAAAAAACAAAAGAGGAATTACTCAGGCAACCTAACTTTACACATTAAAATTTGTATAGAACCACAAAAGTCCCTGATCGTGAACAGCCAAAGCAAAGAACAAAGCTGAAGGCATCACATTTCCTGATTTCAAACTATACTATAAAAGTACAGTGATTAAAACAGTATGGAACTGGTATAAATACAGCACACATACCAATGGAACAGAATCAAGAACCCAAAAATAAACCCTGGAAAATACAAGACCTGATAAAGGATCCAGGAATACTCAAGGGGGAAAGGACAATCTCTTCAATAAATGGAACTGGGAAGACTGAAAAATCACATGCAGATAGATAATCACATGCATAAAACTGAATCCCTAGAAGAACTGATGCCTTTGAACTGTGGTGCTGGAGAAGACTCTTGAGAGTACTGTGGACTGCAAGGAACTCATATTAGTCCATCCTAAAGGAAATCAACCCTGAATATTCATTGGAAGGACTGACGCTGAAGTTGAAGCTCCAGTACTCTGGCCACCTGATGTGAAGCACCGACTCAATGGAAAAGACCCTGATGCTGGGAAAGACTGAAGCTGGGAGAAGGGGACAACGGAAGAGGAGATGGTTGGATGGTATCATCGGCTCAACGGACATGCGTTTGAACAAGCTTTGGGAGATGGTAAAAGACATAGAAGCCTGGTGTGCTGCAGTCCATGGGGTTGTAAAAAGTCAGACATGACTCAGTGACTGAACAAGCACCTTACACCACTCACAAAAAGTTAACCTGACACGGGATAAAGACTTACACCTAAGACCTGAACCAGCAAACTTCCAGTTATAAGTCAGTCGTGGGGATTCAAGGTGGCAAACTGACTATAGATGACAACACTGTATTATACACCTGAAATAAGGTAAAGGAGTAAATTTTAAGTGCTCTCACCACAGGACAGGATGGCAGTTATGTGAGGTGGCAGAGGTTAACCATGCTCCCGTGATAGTCGCTGCGCAATATGTAAGCGTATCAAGTCCACACGCTGCATGCCTTGTGTGCCTGTGTGCCAGCTCGCCTCAGTCACATTGGACTCTGTGTGGCCCCGCGGACTGTAGCCCGCCAGGCTCCTCTGTCCATGGGATTCTCCAGGCAAGGACACTGGAGTGGGTTGCCGTGCCATCCTCCATGGACCATCCCGACCCAGGGACTTTACCACTAGCACTACCTGGGAAGCCCTACAGCCCACCTTAGACCTACACAACGTTACATGTCAATTGTATCCCAATAAAGCTGGAACAATGTGGTACATACACACAGTGGAGTACAATTCAGCGTTGAAAAATAAAGGAATTCTGATACATGCTAAAACTGAAGGCATTATGCTAGGTGAAACAGGTCAATCACAGAAGGATAAATACTGTATCCCTGATATGAGGTACTTAAAGTAGTAAAATTCATAGGACAGACAGTAGGACAAAGGCTGCCGCAGAATGAGAAGCGGAGGGATGTGGTTATTGTTTATGTACTTAATGCCCCTGAAGTGTATACTTAAAAATGGTTAGAATGGTAAATTTTACATTATATGCCTGTTACCACAATACAAAATAAACTAGGATTTCTAGGCAGGAATAGGATTCTGCCTGATGGTTAACACTGTGTTGTCTTGGATGGCAAACATAGTCTTTTGTATACGCCTCATAATCCAGCCTAGGTATTTCAGCAACCATCTTTCCAAAAAGAATTTGAGAAGACTTACAACAGAGTATAGGGCCAAGGTCAAAGCAAAGTCAGGACTGAAAAAAGAAAAAGCAAAGAAAGCTTTTTTGTGAAAGGTAATAAACACAGTTAATGACACTGAACCCCAAGTCTGACTCTGCATTTGCAGGCAGATACTGCAAAAAGAAAACCAGTGTGCCAGTAACAGAGTTATTGCCTCTCAGCTCCAAATTCACCTTTCATTTCCATTCTGTGAAAACAGATCTGGGCCTTTTAAATATTCTTCCTTTGTCACAGGCTCAGTCAATAGAGGGTGCTGTAGAGACAGGA